AACAAAAATATGCTAAAACTATTAATATTCTATAAATATTTCTTTCTCAATATTTTTGCTATTGATCCTAATCACGAATATATATTCTTGTGTTGCTGATTGCATAAAATCTAGACAAGACTTTCCACGACTAAAGTTCTTAAATTTTCGTACCAAAATGATAAACATCTTTTAAAACAATACAAATTTGACGAAGACTTTGTAGGAAGAAGTGGTACGCTCTTTTTATACGGAAATCATTTTCGACAGACAATTTGATTGAAAGATATTATTATTATTAATATTATCTGTCCGTCCGTCAGTCCGTCCGTTTCTACGCAAACTAGTCCCTCAGTTTAAAAGATATCTGAATGAAACTTTCCCAAAAGTTGTCTTTCTATTGCAGGTAGTATATAAGTCGGAACGAGCCGGAACGGGTCGGACGACTATAGCATATAGCTCCCATAGGAATAATCGGAAAACTAAATAAAAAAAATTATAACTTTGCTGATTTTAATTTTTTTTTAAGTTCTTCGACAAATAGTAATGGTTAATTATTTCAGAATTACGGTTTAAATATAATCAAAATCGGACGACTATTGCATATATCTCCCATAGGAACAATAGGAAAAATAAATGAAAAAAAATATAACTTTGCTGTTTTTAAATTTTTTTTAAGTTCTTCGAGATATAGCAATGGTTAAATATTTAGAATTTCGGTTTTAATTTCATTAAAAACGGATGACTATAACATAAAGCACCCATGGGAACAATAAAAATATTAAAAAAAATATAGTTTTAAAAATTTAACTTTTATGTTTTTTATATTTTTTAGCAGTTATTTTTGATTAATTAATTATTTGGCAGTTCACAATTACGCTTTTAATTTTATTAAAATCGAAAAACGGTATCATATAACTGCCATATCAATTAATTGAGCTGCAAATCATCATATGTAGCTTCAATGTTTTTAAACATATACGCAAGTAAATCAGAATTCTTCAAGAATATTTAATTTTTGCAATAGCTGCAAGGTTATATGAACTTCGGCTTGCCGAAGTTTGCTTCCATTCTTGCTAATCTTCCAAAAAGTGCACGCAAAAAAAATGTTGCTTAAAAAACTTAAAAATTGTCTGAAATTAAAAGCGTAATTCTGACCTATAAAATAATTACTGGGTTAAAAAGATTTTTTTTTTAATTGAAAAACAATTTATTTTTTTTATATATATTTTGATTGTAGCTTTATGCTGTAGTCGTCCGATCCGTCTCGTTCTGACTTATATATTTCCTGCAATTGAAAGACAGTTTTGCAGATTTGCAGATAGCTTCAAAACTGAGAGACTAGTGATCCAGAGCAATAATATACATATGCTTTATAATTAATTTTAAAACTATAATGTTAAAATTATAATACCCTCTGCAAGACTTCAAAAAAAGGAAACATGGGCGGTCTTTTTGTTTCCTAATATATACAAAATTTATGTACACCTTGTTATATCCGTTAATCGTAGGTAGAAGGAAGCGTTTCCGACCATACAAAATATATATATTCTTGATCAGTATCAAAAGCCAAGTTGATCTAGTCATGTCCGTCTGTTTGTTCGTCTGTGTGAACCCCGAGAACTCAAAAACTTTAAAATCTCTTTGTGTGTGTTTCGGTAACATCTATCGGTATAAACAGAAAAAATTCTGAATCCTGCTAATATTTTAGAAGTTATACCGCCAGTTATCTACCGCCACTCTGCCGCCGATCTGCCATCGCTAGTGGGAGGTGGGGGTGCTGCACGCACTAAGCTTCTAGTATTGGATATGCAGCTCGACAGTTGGCGCCACCTAAACTTGGATTGTTTTGTAAAGGGAATACTTATTTTGAAGTTTGTTGGCTGAGTAACGGGTATCTTATTGTCGGAAAACTCGACTATAGCGTTCACTCTTGGTCTTATTCATATATACAGTATACGCTGAAAACATTTATAAAAAAGAGTTTGCTTAAAACTGTGAGTGACTGTAAATAAAAAAAAACAAGAAAGGAAGCAAACTTCGGCAAGCCGAAGTTCATATACCCTTGCAGCTATTGCACAAATTAAATATTTTTTAAAACATTAAAATTATGATTTACTTGCGTATATGTCTAAAAAATTGAAGCTATGATGATTTGCAGCTCAATTATTAGATAGTTATTGTACATATTTTTATTATTTCTATGGGAGCTATATGATATAGTCGTCCGATTTTGATGAAATTTAAACCGTAATTCAGAAATATTTAACCAAAACTATATGTCGAAGAACTAAAAAAAAACTAAAAAAACAGCAAAGTTATAATTTTTTTTTATTTATTTTTCGATTGTTCCTATAAGAGCTATATGCTATAGTCGTCCGATCCGGCGCATTCCGACTTATATACTACTTGCAATAGAAAGACAACTTTTGGGAAAGTTTCATTTAGATAGCTTTAAAACTGAGGGACTAGGACTTTATAGGGTCGGAGATGGCTCCTTCACTGCGTTTCCAACTTCTAACTGAAATTAGAATACCCTCTGCAAGGGTATAAAAACAGAGGTCAATCGGAAGTACACTGTAAATAAATAGAGGTCTAATAACTTTTAAAACAATAGCTCGATTTTGAACATTTTTTTGATAGATATGGCGGATAGATAGGCGGAAACATACACATAACTTCTACAATAACAGCTCAATTTGGAAAATTGTTGTATCATCCGATAGATAAAATATTGTTGAAGCGACTTTTCGTTTCTTTTTTTTCCTAGCACACTTACCTCTTGTGGAAGAAAATGTCGCTGTTGCTGAATTTGGTCTCTAACGCAGAATGTGGTCGCTGTTGCACAAAAAACGTCTGTTTGAATATGGTCTTAGCCACAGTGCGAGCAGCACCCTCTAGCGATTTTTACGATTTTCCGTCTATTTAATATTTAGTTGCAGCTATTGTCTATGGCGCTGCAAACAAATGTTTTTTAGCCTACTTACACTAACTCACGTCTGCCATTGATATCGGAATAGTCGCAATGAATCAGAATAGCCTGTTACACTTGACACCTGTGCTTCATTGCGGTTGAATAGCCTGAACAAGAAAAATCCTCCTGCCTTTGTTTAAGGGCTATTTTTGTCGTTGTTTTCGATCGATAGCTAGTTTCCCACGATAGTATATCGATATGCCAAATGTGGAGTAAATATATAGTAAAAATCGGTAAAAATCAAAATTTTGTAGACTGATTCACCTTGACGCACTTTTCCCCCATCTCTATCTGCCTCTACAAAACTTTTGTAAATAAAACTGGGTCTAGCCACAGACGCAATGACGCGATGAAGCAACCCAAGTGTAACTATGCCCTAAATTGGTAAGATTAGGTTTGCATCCCAATTAAAACCCCGTAGTGCAACAAGTATAAAGTAATTTTGATCACCTTCTATCCGGTACTATGTATACTATAATGGGGTCTCCTACCTGGTGAGCAATACTCCAGAATTGGACGAACATGAACAAAGTCTTCGGGACACAGGGATCATCAAATTCCTTAGACCACCATTTTATAAATCCAAGCACTCCCCTGGCTTTAATTACCATGGAAGTAATATGTTCAGAAAAATTAAGTTTTGAGTCCAAAATTCTATTAAACTCACAACCACCTAACGTATACATGGCATATTGTGGGTTTACCTGATAAAATGTCATTACTTTGCATTTAGTGATATTTAAGTTTAATATACTTACAGAACACCGTGTTTGAGAAGCATTGAGGTCTTTTTGTAACTCTGAACGGAGGGAAGTATGGCTATTTAGCAGGCTTAACTTAACGTCCTTTGCGTACATGAGAAAACACAACTTTCTCAAGACTAAAATAAATAAATAATGTAAAAAGAAGTGGGCCACGGTGGCTCCCTTGTGGGACGCCTGAATAAACTGAAGAGGATGGGATGGGATGGGAGAAATAGAGAAAGCATACTATACATAAGCCAAATGTATTGTTGCTGCGGGCGAAAACGTCGCTGACACCTTATCCATCCTCAATTTGAAGTATGATCAAACATATTCTGTGTACGAAAAATTTGCCGCTCAGCTCAGAGAACAAACCGAACAGACTTATTCCAATCATGTCATGCAGTTCAGTTCCAAAATTCAATTTCGCCTGGCTGTCGTCTGCCTCCTTTCCCATGCGATTATCTTCGCTGGCAGACTTTCAAAATCAAACACCTACGGTCAAACATGTGTCAGAGCGACGTGTCAGAGTTCTTCAAGGTATAATAATATATATAAATATGTATTTCAGAACTACGTTTTAAATTTCATCAAAATTGTACGACTATATTATATAGCTCCCATAAAAACATAAAAAACATACTAAATTTTTTTTTTTTATTTTTTAATTTTTTTAACAAATTCTTTTTAAAATAGTAATAATTTGATGGTTCCCCACGATAGTATATCGATATGCCAAATGTCGAATTAATATCTTGTAAGCATTGAGCAAACATCGGTAAAAATTAAAATTGTATACTGATTCACTTTGACGCATATTTCCCCGCTATCTGTCTGTCTATACAAATTTCAAGTTTCCGAGATCTAGACGTTCATACAAGCGGACAGACGGACAGACAGACGGACATGGCTAAATCGACTAGGCTTTTGATCCTGATCAAGAATATATACAATTACGGGTTGGAAAAGCTTTCTTCTACCTGTCACATACTTTTCAACGATTAGAATATACTGTTTTACTCTACGAGTAACGGGTATAACAAACCCGATTTCTGTTACAACGAGATTTGCTTTAGGTCTGGAAATTGATTAGAAAAGGTTTCAGTCAAATCTCCGTTTGTATCCATTCTTGTAATGATTCAAAGACATGCCATTGTCAGTCATTGTTATCAATGCTTATTAGATTACAGATGTTGTCGGAACGCAATCTCTATTGCTCAGCAATAAAGAGTTCCTTGAAAATAGTTTACCTTTTTTTTTCGACTAAAAACTTATAGACATTTGTTTCTTAACCAATATTTCAGTTTCTCGCCTCATGAGTTCATCAGCCAGTGGGACAATGAGCCATATGGGAAATATGGGTGGACTAGCAGCATGCAGTGTAAGCGATACAAAACCGCTACAGTTTCCTTTGGCTCAAAGAAGAAAACGGAGAGTTTTGTTTACGCAAGCTCAGGTTAGTATAATACTTTTTTAATCTGTTGCTATTAACATAGAGAATACCATTTAGGAAATAATAAAATAAATTTAAAAAATTTTTAAACTGCAAAATTTTGCTCTAGAAGCCTAATACAAATACCCAAAGGCGTAATTTGCCATTACGAAATCGGTTACGAATGCATTATTTTTCTTTCAGTAATCAGGAGAAAATGGTTTACAGCCTGTATTACTTTGTCATAGGCAATGACGCCCTGCAATGTACGGCGTATACAATCTGCATTACGAGTAATTGGAAAAGTATGCGAGAACCGAATCACCTTCGGATCCAATTACAATTCAATATAGAATTCAAAGAACGTATACTGAGTTGTAATTCCGTAGGCTAGCATATTTTTTATAAAAACAGCAAATGTAATCCATCCCTTTTGCGCTTAAAGTAATGCATTTTTTCTCCAGACCTAATTCATCATTTCGCCACTGGGCCTAATCGAAATTTTGGACCCTGTAAACTCTATTACACTTACGCGAGTTTCCTTTTAATATCGGAGTTAATCACGCAGAATAACTGTTTGAGAAATTTCGTCAGAAGTTTGCAACGCAGTGAAGGAGACATTTCCGACCCTATGAAGTATATATTCTTGATCAGCGTCACTAGGCAAGTCGATCTAGCCATGTCCGTCTTTCCGCCCGTCCGTCTGTCTAGTTTCTACGCAAACTATTTTCTCAGTTTTAAAGCTATGTGTATAAAACTTTTCCAAAACCCGGATCGGACGACTATAGCATATAGCTCCCATAGGAACAATCGAAAAAATAAATGAAAAAAAATTATAACTTTGTTATTATACCCTTGCAGAGGGTATTATAATTTCAGTCAGAAGTTTGCAACGCAGTGAAGGAGACATCTCCGACTCTATAAAGTATATATATTCTTGATCAGCATCACTAGTAGAGTCGATCTAGTCATGTCCGTCTGTCCGTCCGTCTGTCCGTCTGTCAGTCTGTCCGTCTGTCCGTCCGTTTATATGCAAACTAGTCTCTCAGTTTTAAAGCTATCTGCATGAAACTTTCCCAAAAGTTGTCTTTCTATTGCAGGTAGTATATAAGTCGGAACGAGCCGGATCGGACGACTATAGCATATAGCTCCCATAGGAACAATCGGAAAAATAAATGAAAAAAAATTATAACTTTGCTGTTTTTTAATTTTTTGTTTAGTTCTTCGACGTTTAGTAATGGTTAAATATTTCCGATTTACGGTTTAAATTCCATCAAAATCGGAAGACTATAGCATATAGCTCCCATAGGAATAATCGGAAAAATAAATGAAAAAAATTATAACTTTTCTGTTTTTTAATTTTTTGTTTAGTCCTTCGACATTTAGTAATAGTTAAATATTTCCGATTTACGGTTTAAATTATATCAAAATCGGACGACTATAGCATATAGCTCCCATAGGAACAATCGGAAAAATAAATGAAAAAAATTATAACTTTGCTGTTTTTTAATTTTTTGTGTAGTCCTTCCTCACTTAGTAATGGTTAAATATTTTCGATTTACGGTTTAAATTATATCAAAATCGGACGACTATAGCATATAGCTCCCATAGGAACAATCGGAAAAATAAATGAAAAAAATTATAACTTTGCTGTTTTTTAATTTTTTGTTTAGTTCTTCGACGTTTAGTAATGGTTAAATATTTCCGATTTACGGTTTAAATTCCATCAAAATCGGAAGACTATAGCATATAGCTCCCATAGGAACAATCGGAAAAATAAATGAAAAAAATTATAACTTTTCTGTTTTTTAATTTTTTGTTTAGTCCTTCGACATTTAGTAATAGTTAAATATTTCCGATTTACGGTTTAAATTATATCAAAATCGGACGACTATAGCATATAGCTCCCATAGGAACAATCGGAAAAATAAATGAAAAAAATTATAACTTTGCTGTTTTTTAATTTTTTGTGTAGTCCTTCCTCACTTAGTAATGGTTAAATATTTTCGATTTACGGTTTAAATTATATCAAAATCGGACGACTATAGCATATAGCTCGATTGTTCCTATGGGAGCTATATGCTATAGTCGTCCGATCCGGCTCGTTCCGACTTATATACTACCTGCAATAGAAAGACAACTTTTGGGAAAGTTTCATGCAGATAGATTTAAAACTGAGAGACTAGTTTACATATAAACGGACGGACAGACGGCCATGATGCTGATGTGATGCCGTCAGTGATGCTGATCAAGAATATATATACTTTATAGGGTCGGAGATGTCTCCTTCACTGCGTTGCAAACTTCTGACTGAAATTATAATACCCTCTGCGAGGGTATAAAAACATACTCGTGAAAACCGAAAATAATGGTATTACTTTATCTTGAATCTTTAATTTTTCTATGGGTGTTAATTAATAAAGTCGGCTGGCTTTTAAATAATTTAAATCGTAATTCTGAAATGTTATATAATCAGAATTTGAGTCATAATTTTTTAAAATTATTAGCCGATTGTTTCTAAGGAAGCTAAAATAATATATGATATACATTTTGACGCAAATCTAGAAAATAAAGAAATAAAATAAAATGTATGTTATTTTGAATGAAATGTAGTACACACATTCAAAGATATCTTAAATTTTTCAAATTGCGGTTTCACTAATTTCATCGAGAATGCCACATTTGTACGTCATTAATCGAAAAAAAGTATTTTTATAAGCAATAAAATTTCTTTTGAGCTATTAATATTTAAATTCTTAAATGCTTATCCCATGTAACATTATGAATTTTTTTTTATCCTCGGAATATTTGGAGCACAGACGCCTTTTTTTAAGATTAATGAAAAAACTGTCTAGTTTCATTTAAAAACGCATCTTTTTCGTGTGTCACCCTATAGGTACTTTTGATGTGGTGGTATCTGTTTAAAATTTTTGTTTATATCGTTATTTGTTATTATACCCGTTACTCGTAGATTAAAAAGGTATATTGTAATCGTTGAAACGTATGTAAACAGTCCCTATAAAATATTTTATTCTTGATCAGGATCAATAGCCATGACGATCTAGCCATGTCAGTCGGTATGAATGTTGAGATCTCGGAAGCTTTATGGAGCTATACATGTGTAATTATACCCTTGCAGAGGGTATTATAATTTCAGTCAGAAGTTTGCAACGCAGTGAAGGAGACGTTTCCGACCCTATAAAGTATATATATTCTTGATCAGCATCACTAGTAGAGTTGATCTAGCCATGTCCGTCTGTCCGTCTGTCCGTCCGTCTGTCCGTCCGTCTGTCCGTCTGTCCGTCCGTTTATATGCAAACTAGTCTCTCAGTTTTAAAGCTATCTGCATGAAACTTTCCCAAAAGTTGTCTTTCTATTGCAGGTAGTATATAAGTCGGAACGAGCCGGATCGGACGACTATAGCATATAGCTCCCATAGGAACAATCGGAAAAATAAATGAAAAAAATTATAACTTTGCTGTTTTTTAATTTTTTGTTTAGTTCTTCGACATATAGTAATGGTTAAATATTTCCGATTTACGGTTTAAATTTCATCAAAATCGGTCGACTATAGCATATAGCTCCCATAGGAACAATCGGAAAAATAAATGAAAAAAAATTATAACTTTTCTGTTTTTTAATTTTTTGTTTCGTTCTTCGAGATATAGTAATGGTTAAATATTTCAGAATTATGTTTTAAATTTCATCAAAATCGGACGACTATAGCATATAGCTCCCATAGGAACAATCGGAAAAATAAATGAAAAAAAATTATAACTTTTCTGTTTTTTAATTTTTTGTTTAGTTCTTCGACATATAGCAATGTTTAATTATTTCAGAATTATGTTTTAAATTTTATCAAAATCGGACGTCTATAGCATATAGCTCCCATAGAAATAATAAAAATATATAAAATAACTATCTAATAATTGAGCTGCAAATCATCATAGTTTCAATGTTTTTCAGCATATACTCAAGTAAATCATAATTTAAATGTTTTCAAAAGTATTTAATTCATGCAATAGCTGCAAGGGTATATGAACTTCGGCTTGCCGAAGTTTGCTTTCTTTCTTGTTTTTTTTTAAAAATCCATTTATATTTTCCTTTTGGACTAATCGATAGTTTACAATTTTAAAAATATCCTGTGAAAGTGGCAAGGTCGTATCTGAAATAGTTTTAGATGGAAGCGTTCTAAAGAGCGACCGCTTCAACCGATTCAATCAGCTTGAATGAGTCCTAACTACAATGACCTGCTAACTTTTGGGTTGGTGGAATATGGTAATTTTATCAGAATTTAAAAGACCATTCCAGACCAAACCAAAATATATTTAGTTTTCATAATCTTTTTTAATTTTTCGATTTCAGCCACTCTTTTATCCGTTTTTTCTAAAGTTAAAAAATTAATTATTATTTGTTATTATTTCTTTAACAAATAATTATGGGCATTACCGTAAACTTGCCGACAGACGGCGCTACCTAGAACGCGACTATTTTCAGTAACAGGAATCTGATAGTCGGGGCACTCGACCACATCATTCCTTTTTCTTTTTGTGTTTTTTTTTTATTTAATTATAAATCACTGATTATTAAATTATCTTTTTATAGTATTTTAGCCTATCTCTTGAGTTTGAGTAAATTCTGTTGACTTTATCCATATATCTGTCATACTGACCATACGGTTCTAAGTCGAATATTCTTATAGAGTAAAAGCCAGAGTTTTGAATTTTTGTTTGTAAGTACACTGATCATTTTCAAAAATGTAGCCGATGGGACGATCATATCCCATAGCTGCCATGGGTACAGCTTGGAAAAAATGAATGGACTCCAAATTTGTTTTTTATTTCAGCTCTGCCTAACTGATTTCGGTCATCGATAGTTTATTTCACTAGAAACAGATTATTCTTCAACAAGGTTTTCAAGGTTTCATCTCTGGAGAATTTCGTCGGTTTTAAATTTGTAAGCCACAGAAAAAAACAACAGAGCAACAAACTTCAAATCAAGTATTTGGTATGTCAAAAATGCCA